AAGGTCCTCTGATATTTTGACCTGCGCACCGAATGTGGTAAATCACGCCACACTTTTGTTCTTTGGGGGTTCTGTCTTTGGGGGCCACTAATAGCTGTCTTAACGTACGGGTCGGTTTGAAACACGTTTTTAAGCCATGTGTCCCGAAGATTCTCCGTAAAGCTTCAGAGGTGTTCTTAACATAGGGTAGGACGACTAAACCTCTGTTCTGCCTCGTAGAAGAGTTTGACTGACGGTTTCTATCAGTTGTAGAACGTTTGGGAGCAGTTGCCTTGGAAACTGCCCACTTGGGGTAGCCACAGTTTAGCAAGGCCTGAGTGATGTGTTCTTTCTCAGCCTCCCTATCTTGGGGGTTGGTAATAATGGTGTCCGCCCTGTGAAACAATGTACGAATGACACCCAGTTTGTGCTCAAGGGGGTGGTTAGAACTAAAGTTCAGATATTGGTCCGTGTGGGTGGGTTTTCTGTAGATCCTAATGTCTAGCGAACCATCGTCTTTCACCACTGTAAGAGTATCCAGAAAAGGTAAGGTTTTGTTCTGTTCTTCTTCTGTGGTGAATTTTATGTCGGGGTCCAAACTATTAAGGTATTCAGTAAACTCGTCAGCGTGTGCTCTTTTTAGTTTCGTATGTGTATCGTCCACGTACCTATACCACCACAGTGGGGGATTGGGAGCAGTGTTAATGGCTAATTGTTCAAGATGTTCCATGAACAGATTACACACAATCGGCGAGACTGGGGAGCCCATAGCTGCCCCGTGGATCTGACGATAGAATTCTCCATTGTATACAAAATATGTACAATCTAAACAGACTTTCAATAGGTTAACCACATGCGTTCTAGATACGGAGCAGGATTACTTTGTGAGAGGCGTGAAGGAGGCAGTTTACATCAGGGCCCACCAACCCTCTCTGAACCGTGATGGTGGGAGATACCGTCTTCCCGCCACTTTTGATGCACTCCTGACGTCATCACGTTTCCGACTTCCGGAAAGTCAGCGATTGCATCACAAATCTGACGAAGGTTGACGGGATCAGCCGAAAATTTATGGTGAGTTCTCCTTATTGTGTTGGAACAAGTCAAACTCTTTAACTATGTATTCTACCAACACAGATGAGCTTTCATTCGAATATAAAAAAGAAAATGGTTAAGAAAACCCTTGACTCTCCTGTCTAGTTAAAGTTTTCTTCTTTTTTTTATTTATTTAGTGGTTATACCCCAATTTAAAAACGGGATCCAAACTCGGGACACCTTGGTTCCTAGCCTCCGCAGCAGGCTTATAGAACTGGGGGTTTGGTGGTCTTCGGCTGTTTTCTGATTAGCCCAGTTCTAAAAACGGGGGTAATTCAACCAGGCCGGCTATGTTGTCTATATGCAAT